ACCTTCATGGATAAGCGAGATTAAATTAAACACAGGTGCTATCTGTATAGAACAACAGGTGTTGATTGTTTTACCTAAAAGGGATCCCCGATATATTATTTCAACCGCAGTTTTGTTTCGTCTCTCAGTAGGGCACCTCACGGTGAGTAAATTCAACGATGTAAACAATACTGTGGAACACATGCAATTCCATAAGATATCGTTAGCCTGCAGATCTAACAGAAATAGATGATATGCATTATATTATATTGTGTACCCGTAAATTGTAGGTGTTCTTTGAACAGTCACACTCTTATCAAAATATTTACACTTGTGTGCTTGATTGGTGATCCATGCTTGAACATCGGACTGTAAAATATGCAGGGTTGCAAAGACAGATTGAGCGAACAGTAATATTATGGGCATGTTAAAGAGCAGCCATTTTGAAGAGCAGCCATTTTTAAGAGGATCAAGTTTTAGTCATCGGGAATCACTGATACACCATACATCATTAATGCTCAGTAGATACGAAGTTCTGAAAGAACTTATCCTGCTTTTTATCAACTTCGTTAAGTAATTTTAGTTCTGATAAGAACAGTCCTGCTTTAAGTTATAAAAGAACTTGTCTTTGGTTTCAACGTTTCGACTAGCTTTCTCTAGTCATCCTCAGGAGACTCAGTAGAGTTAAAGATGCTGCTCCTTAAGTAGGCTGTACTAGGATAGGGAGTGCTTCAAGATTCTGATTGGTTGTCTGTTGGGCATTGTCAGTGTTGGAGTGGGATGCCCTGCTCGCTTGGGTCTGTCAACTGGCTGTGAAGCCCGCTGAGTGCTTGCTCGCTCAGGTGTACGTTGGCTGTGAGCCATGAGTGTTGCAACAAGGTATTAGTGAATGATATGTTGCTTTAATATGAAATAGCCGATGTCTTGTGATACAGTGCCATGTTTGTGGATCTCAATAGCTTCCCTGATACGACGGGTGTACCAGTGTTTCTCTGGGGCTATGATTTCCGCTTGTTCCCAATCAACGGCATGATCAAAATCAGCAGAGTGTTTGGCAATGGAAGATATGCACTTTGCCACACGAGCAAGGAATTCATTAAACCACGGTTGGCTGATTGAATTGGGTCTGTCTTTGTGGCCCTAATATTTTTTTAAGACTGCCCTTTTCCATTCAAATGCCCTATTCACCACCGCTTACCCACCCAATATTTTGTAAAGAGTGCCCTTTTTTGAAAGAAGTGCCTTGAAAGAAGTGCCTTTTTTTCTGAACAAGTGCCCTTTTTAAAATTTCAGTTGTGGCTTTTTATTGTGTCATATGCCGTTCCGTGTGCCTTTTTGTGACTATGAATTGTCCATCAGTGTGCATAATCATCGGTTTTAAACAGCGCCCCCACCAAAAGATGGTACCAGCCTCCCCCCCATTAGGGGTGGAGCAAAGCATCTCCCCCCCCCCAACATCCCTCTTTTTCCCAGCATTTTCCAGATTGATAATTTTTGCACGGTGGGCAGGGCAATAAGCAACAATATGATTTCGCCTTTTTTTTGTCTTTTTTTCCTTTTTATTTGTTTTTTTTTTTCTGGGGGGGGGGGGGGGCGAGCTCGTCCTGGGGGCGGGGGGGGGGGCATCGCCTTCCTTGCCCCACCCATGGCTGTGTTACGATTTAAGGAGAGCAGTTTGGCGGCAACTTTCCTTTCGACTGCTGGATTCGGGTTCTTCTTTAGGCGGGCATAGGTATCTGTGTTGAGGATATCCTGAACCTTTTGATCATACTATGTTAGATTGGGAGGCTCCGAGTGCTTCAAGACTTGGTGTATTTGGATATGGTTATTGTCTGCCTTTTGGTTGTCCATGTTGGGGATAGAAGGTACAATCGATTAAATGAACTCCTCCACCGGACTCTTATAGCCTTGAATCTTATGGCCAATGATATATCTCTTTTACATTTAATTTGATAAATTCTATATATATATATAGCTCTACAGAGATGTATCGAGCACTGTCAATTGTGATAGAAGACGATTTCATTGGATATATATATATATATAATTTTTTTTTTTAAATTGGGGTCCAGATCATTCTGACTCACTCTGTTTGTTTTCAGGCTCAGAATCTAGGGTCGAGATACGTGACGATTAAAGCTCTACACACCTGGCCGCTGGATACCCTACTTTCTGCTGGAGGTTCAAATTGTTTGGGACCAAATATATTCGGGAGACATCCAGCTCGGAAATCAGTCGTTGGCTTGTGAATCAACGTTTCTCATAGTTATTTAATCGGGCAAACTATAGGCAATGTGTGTCAGACTGTCAGTCATACCTTAGCCCGGAAATATAACCGCAAGAAATATAGCATTTCTTTATTGAATCGTTTCAATGGGACCAAACACACACGTTGCGGGTAAGCAGACGTGTAAATAAAGCTGCCACCACATTTTTGTAGGTATTTTCAACAAATTTCTGTCCATTTGACGTGAATTGTACATTTGATGAATATAACTTCTGACGCAAGGTTAATAGAGAATGAACCTGGTTTCAATTGGTGTTTTTTCAACAACACTTAGAGTTTATTTTTGGGGGTTTATTTCCGACTGACGTACTTTTAGCTACCCTCCACCACAAAAAACAAACAAACAAACAAACAAACAAACAAACAAAAAACAAACAAACGCAAACACAAAACAGAGAATTTTGTCAGTGCAATTCGAGACATCACAGACCCCCTTTTCTCATGGCTGCCTTATATCCAAAGCGTTTGTGAGCTGGTGTATGCAGATAATGTAAGTTAAATAAATATTGCCAAAGATGGCTTAAGTATTCTGTGAAGTGCAATAATAATGAAATATGATGATCTCATCGCATTATACTCATACTACAAAAAGGAATCACGCAGGAGATAAGTTTGTTGTGTCTCGCGCCACAGCTTCAATATTTTAATCAACCTTCTTCAACCGGAATACCAAAGATTAAGGGCAAACCGGATACATAGAGCACAATAACATTAACATTAAACATTAGGAGGTACCCATGACCACCTCACGTAGTTTGATGCTCACAAGAAAACTGATTGTGATACCCAAGACCACAATGACGATAGTGATACCCAGTGACCACTACCCACCAACAACGGCCGTTGTGAAAGCCTATTAAATCAGGCGATAAAACCAGTTAACAGGTAAGGTGCTATAACTTCAGCACTTAATTAAAAACACATTCCCCACAGCAGGCACATGTAGTGGGGGTATAGCCATTGTGGTAACTCATAGGCTATACATGTACATGTAGATTCGAGATTAACATGTTACTGGATCAGCCCATGAGGCACATCACAGGCCACAATGAATTTAGTTACCAAGTTGAATTTAGTTAAGTACACTGTAGTCAAATGTTCACTCAAAACCAGCATTATGGGGCTCGTTCTCTTCTGGGGCACCAATAAAAATGCCCAGAAATAACCCTTTTTGTGCCCCAAACAATAGTGCTGTACTAAATACAGAATATCCCCCTCTCTTCCACCATGGAGGAATGTAGGGGAGGAGGTGGGAAAAGTTTTCAATCGAGCGTTGATGTTTCTAGATTGAAGCCGTGACTAAAAGTGAGTTTGCGCACTCCCGATAGAATACAATGCGCTGATTGGCTGCCGCGCAATCCTAGCGCGGCAAAATAAAGGGAGAGTGCATACAACGTCCGCAATAACGTTTGCGCACGTCCCGCAAGCGATGTTCTGTTTTTATTGGTTGCCCAGGGGTGTTCAGAATCCCAATTTGCATACAACCTTCCTTAATCAGGATACTCATGCACACTGTATGCTGTACAATTATTGAACACCCACAAGTACGATCAAACTGGATTTTGCGCTGAGTATAATAAATTTTACCAGTTAAATGGTAAAATGTGTTATACTCATACTACAAAAAGGAATCACGCAGGAGATAAGTTTGTTGTGTCTCTCGCCACAGCTTCAATGTTTTAATCAACCTTCTTCAACCGGAATACCAAAGATTAAGGGCAAACCGGATACATAGAGCACATTAACATTAACATTAAACATTAGGAGGTACCCATGACCACCTCACGTAGTTTGATGCTCACAAGAAAACTGATTGTGATACCCAAGACCACAATGACGATAGTGATACCCAGTGACCACTACCCACCAACAACGGCCGTTGTGAAAGCCTATTAAATCAGGCGATAAAACCAGTTAACAGGTAAGGTGCTATAACTTCAGCACTTAATTAAAACACATTCCCCACAGCAGGCACATGTAGTGGGGGTATAGCCATTGTGGTAACTCATAGGCTATACATGTACATGTAGATTCGAGATTAACATGTTACTGGATCAGCCCATGAGGCACATCACGGGCCACAATGAATTTAGTTACCAAGTTGAATTTAGTTAAGTACACTTTATAGTCAAATGTTCACTCAAAACCAGCATTATGGGGCTCGTTCTCTTCTGGGGCACCAATAAAAATGCCAAACGCGAAAAGCGACCCACATAAGAAACAAGCACCATCACTGCGGGAACTTACATTAGCGACAAAATGCAGGAGCGCAAATTTTCCCGAAAGGCTGCATTACCCTCCGGAGAGAGGAGAACCCCATCTCTCCGGTAGAGGTGAGCGGCAGACCAATGAAATTGGGGGTGATCAAGTACACTGATTCCCAGCCTGCGACATTGTGACCAAGCCCAGCGGTTAGTCGCTCGCCGTATGTGTTCCATGGATTTTTGGGATTGTGCACCATAGTAAAATAGCCGGGGTAATATACATGACCAAACAAGTTTGGTGTTAGGAAATCTCTCCCGAAATTCTGCCAGCATGACGGCTAGAGTATGCCGAATCGCATAGAAGTTGAGCTGCACTAAGTCATTAGTACCAACATGCATTACTATAATGTTTACATCACCAATGCCGTCCAACAAATATGCTAATTGATTCAAGCGTGCCCCACTTCGCCCATTCCATTGCACAGGGATACCCATATCATAGGCTGCCCATCGAACCAGTGAATCCCCCACTATCCCAGCACAGCGTTGCTCATGTGGATGAACACCTAAAAATCAAATGAAAATATTTGCTTAAACCCTGTGAAAATTGACTATGGGGAAGGGGCGGAGGTAACTGGCTAGCGCGTCTGACCGCCATCGACCCATACGCTGTATGTCTGTGAAGGGAAGGCCCAATGCATATGCAGTAGATGCTGCCCCCATACGAAATGAGTGGGATCTATAATGTGAATTCGTGATGCCACAGCCTGACAACGCAGACTGCAAAACTCTATTGAACTGGTAACGAGTAAGCGGTTGACTATCAATGTGACAAAAGAGGGGGCCTTGTGTTCTTGGGCGATTTTGAACAAATTGTTGAAGCGCTGCAACAGGGCAGAGAGTGGCATCAGCCCACCGACCTACAAGAACAATTTGAGGGGGGCCACGCTGATTTGTCTTAGACTGGCGCAGTGCCAACGTTACTGACTCGCAGCCGTTGGAGAAGCGTATGTCTGAAATGTGCAAAACTGCAGGCTGCACATCCCCTCGCGAATTTGCCGTGAACTCACTAACTCGTAAGAAACCGAAAAATGCAAGAAGCATAGCAGAGCGAAACAATGTCACTTCATAATGTGATGAACAAACTTCAGGCAAAATTGCCATAATGCGCGAAAGCAGCGCCAGCGATATTGGTGACCTGCGGTCTCTTCGCGAAACCCCACGCCTACAACCTTCGAGTAATTTTGTAACCATATACGAATCAGTTGGGTCTGGTCTGCCCATTAACTTGTACTTACAACTTACCCCCGCGACGTATGTTGCAATTGTTGATGGTGAATATCGCCGGATGGAAAGCCAGGCGATGAACTCACTTATGCACTGCGGATTCACGACCCGACTACTGTATGTGGATTGAAGGAAACCACAAAAAGTATTCCACCCCGAATTGTATACCTTGTGTGTATTTCGCGCAAAAGCCAACTGTAGCAACCTATGTATTTCCTGATCTACCATACTTGGGGAAGAATTGGAAGCGGAGTCATCACTGGCTCGGCCTGGGGGGCTAAGGCAAAGAAGCGCTGCATCTGAAAACGAGATAATGCATCAGCTTTGTCATTAAATACACCTGGAATGTGAGCTGCCTTGAAGATGATATTGAACTTCAAACACTCTAACACAAGTAAACGAATTAAGTGCATGCACTTTTCACATTGAGCAGATTGTCCGTTAATCATGTGGACCACTGCCATGTTATCAGAGTGAAACCGAACTCTGTGATTGGCTAAGATAGGCCCCCACACAAGGATGGCTACAACTACAGGATACAATTCCAATAGGGCAATGGAGGGTGTATACGATGTTCCTTGCCGCCAACGGCCTTGCAACCATTTCCCTTGAAAATAAGCCCCAAAACCAATTGAAGCCGCTGCATCTGTGAAAAACTCAAGTGTTGCCGAAGATTCCCATTCATGCTTCAGCAGTGGGGTGACACCATTGTAATCTCGCAAAAATGTCAACCACATCAATAAATCAAGTTTTGCGCCATTCGTTATCCGCACCCTATGCCATGGTCGCTTTAACCCCTTTGACAAAGCAATAAGCCGCCTAATAAACGCCCGACCCGGCGACACAGCCTTGCACACGAAATTAAGAGAACCGACAAGGGACTGGATTTGCACTAACTCTGCTTTTGGCTTAGCAAGCATAGCCCGCACTTTAGTGGTGAGCATTGCTACTTTGTCGGGCGGGACCCTTACCTGCCACTGATTCACATCAATTTCAAGCCCCAAGTATGTGAGAACCTGCGACGGACCTTCTGTTTTTTTCCGTAGCAATGGGAACACAAAGTTCCCCACATAATGCTTGAAAATTGTCTAGGCGTGTCTGACATGACTGTCTTGATGGGCCAACAAACAAAAAAAATCATCTAGATAATGTGTTACATCACCCTCTTTGGCCATCTTGCGAACACTAAATTCTAGAAAAGAGCTAAACTTCTCAAATAGCGAACACGACATTGCACACCCCATGGGAAGACATTTGTCAAAGTAAAACTGATTTTCAAACTTGAAACCGAGCAAGTCATAATCGAGCGGGGTGATTGGTAACAGGCGGAAAGCCGATTTGATATCTGATTTTGCTAGCCACGCCCCCTTTCCTGCTTGAACAACTAAATCTACAGCCTCGTCAAACAATGCATACCGTACTTTGCACTGTTCTTCATCTATAAAATCATTAATTGAACCCCCGTATGGGAACGAGAGATGATGTATCAACCGAAAAGTGCCCTGTTCCTTCTTGGGTACTAACCCGATGGGTGAACATTGCAAATTTTCAAAGGGGGGGTGCGCGAAAGGCCCGGCAATCCTGCCTGCTTGAATTTCTTTTTCCAATTTCAGTTTGACCATATCCGGGTTCGATGAAGCTGATTGAAGGCAGTCTGAATCCCTACGAATCCTAGGGCCACTGTATCCAATTGAAAAACCCTTGGAAAACCCTTCCAACAAAATTGCTTTGTCTAAAATGTTGTCATCAGTAATCGCAAAGCAGTGAGTGCAGCACCGACAATTTAATTGGGGTTGGGAGCACGAAAATTAGCTTTCCCAGTCACCAAAGCATGTGCATTTTTCTTTGTTCCAGCTGAATCTACCTGACTGCCGGCCAAGGCTGTTTGTTGAACAGAGTGTGCATAGCCTTTCCCCGAAACCCCCCCCCCCCCCCCCCCTGTTTGGAGGCGCGTGTGTACGCCAGGAAATCTGCATGTTGGTGAACCGTGTCCGTGACGACCACATGCAGCGCATTTGCGCTGATATTTACAGTTGACGAACTTACAGCCGTTCGGACTGTTGAACGCAAAGCATATGCGAGTGACCGTGTGCGGTGCAGCCCGCGGTGCCCCTCCGAATGCGGCAGGGGCCGCTTCGTAAGACGCGACCGTCAGCCACAATTCGACATCAAGCTCACCCCAAGATTTGTGGGGCTGGGCTTCAAGCCGGAGACGAAACTGTTCGTCATATAATCGCCAACTGCGGCCAGGGAACTGAACCGATGCCGTGCGGACAATCTCAGTGTATTTCAGTAGTTCGTTAACCCGAGAAGGAAACTTAACCAGGTATATTGCCATAAAAGTATGAAAAGCTGACACCCACTTGTCCCATGTGTCCATTTTCTTTTGACGGCTTGTTTTGGCCTGATTTGAACGCAAAACATCTTGTCATTTTCAATGACTAGCGCGACTTCTTCTGCTTTGTTAGACCGCGCAAGTACCTCCGAAGCGCTATCCGCGAACAACAGTGACATGTCTACATACTCATTCCGCCATATTTTGTCTTTTAATGACTGAGAAACATGCCCCCCAATCAATGATGTGGACTGAACGCGAGGGATAGGTTTCGGATTTCCGGAAACCCCATCGATTGCAATCCCCGGTAGGTTATTAACCAAGGGTGCCGACAAACCACTACCTACGTTACTGGTTACATTGTTACCCATGCCCCACGGAACAGTATACAAATGTGTGTCATTTGTAGCAGTGATTGGACAGGGGGGCGACGCAACTGAATATATAGGTATACCACTAGCCTATTATATAACGGTGCCTCAGCTATTCGTCCCCCCACTTGGCTTGGAGGAAAACCCACTGCTTGCCCACTTGAAATGCAAGATGTCATGCTTGGAGGAGATGTAAATATTGGCCTAGGCCTACTTGGAATTTCCCCCATCATGCCCATGGTAGAAATTAAGCTTGCAGCAGATGGGAATGACCTACTATTTCCCATGACCCCACGGAACTCACCCGACGGAACTCACCCGACCCTTGAGTAGAGGCAAAAACCGCCGGCTGATTCCCGAATAGGCCTAGTGGCTGTACCACCGGAGGCATAGCCGCCGAAGAACTGGCCACTGAAGTGTTCTTAATTATTATAAGAATCCAATAAACATGCTACGACGCATACAGTCCATCTTTACGAGTCCGTGCGTGTCCGCTTTTATTGCTGTCACTTTCACACTTTCTACATGTTGTGTCACGTGATGACCTTTGGCGGTTCATGTAATACAATATACACAATAGTAGTCTCAACTCAAGGCGCACCTAGTCTTTGCTCAAGATACTACATCTCCTCCCTTTCTTAGATCTTGAATCCAAATACATGAATGATATTAAATACAAGATTTTGGGAATACATCACAAAAACAGTAATGTGGGAATCTATACTTCAGTAAACTGTTTTCAATGCAATGAGTTTGAATTTGAAAATTTTCTGTTTCCATGTGGACTCTCTCTCTCTCTTTTTTTTTTTAACTCTTAACTCTTCAAACAATGTTTAAACTATGCCAACACTGAAGAATTAGTGTCTTTTAACTTGGGTAAAATACATGTCTGTATCAAACTTTGTTACAGCTTCTTTTCCATTAAACAAACAAAACTAGTTTTTGCATTTATCCAAAAGATACGGTAATGAGAGAATAAACCATTACTATCAGTACAGAATATTAAGTATAGAAATGCACTGAAATTCTAAACTGCATTCATAGTCAAAATAATACACATAAATCTCATGTGTGTGTGTTTACAGGATTTGTGTCTTCCAAAGGTATTGAGCACCATACATACTTAATTCTAATGCCAAAATTAAGCAAACATTCTCTTTCAGTGTAACACTAATAAGAATTGTGGAATAGCTGTTTCCATGAAAAAAAATGAGTTGTTGCTCAACCAATCAAAAGAAAATACTAATAAACAAATAAGAAGGCATGACTACTTTGTCTCAAATAGGAAAAATCACATATGAGCAAAACTGACTTTTTTCTCTATTTTTTTTTCTGTAGGCCTTACATCACAAACTAACGATACATTACAAAGTCATCAAACCGCTTGGGTAATTTTCTTTCCCTTACTGGTCTACTCTCAGTCTCAACCTGTGTATGTGTGTTTTCTGTCTTCCCCTCCAAGGATTGCTGACTGTCCCTACTTTCTGTGTCAGGTGTATCACTGTGATTGTTTAGTGGCTTGTTATATTTCTGAACATGTGTACTGTTTCTTTGGTACTGGGCACCGGTTGGAGATTCAACGACAACACTGTTCCCTTTTTTCGCAACTACTTTGTATGGCTCTGGGGAGAAGGGAGTACTCAGTTTGTCTTGTTTGGATTGTCTAACTAAGACTTCATCTCCTTCCTCTAGATCTCTTTCTTTTGCACCTCTCTTCTTGTCAATGTATCTCCTATTCCTCTCCTTTCTCAAGGCATCTGTGTCTCTTATCTCTTCATCTTGTCTAGCCATCTCTTCAACTTCAGGAAGTCTTGTTCGTAGTTTGCGTTTGAACATCATCTCTGCTGGGGTAACACCTGTAGTGTTATGTGGTGTTGTTCTGTATGAAAACAAGTACTCTCTTACTTCCTTTTTCCAGTCTTTCTTCTCTGCATGTGCAATGCGTATTCTTTTCATCAGAGACCGATTTTGTCTCTCAACTTCCCCATTGGCTGCTGGATGCAACGGAGTGACTTTTCTGAGTTTGATCCCATTTTCTGAGAGGTATGCTTCAAACTTATCTGAGGTGAACTGGGGTCCATTATTGGACGTTAAAGTGAGTGGTAAACCGTGTTGAACAAACACATTCTCAAGTGACTCAATGACCCTATCACTTGTAGTGACCTTCATAAAATCAACTTCATAGTATCGACTGTAATAGTCAACTATCACTAGCACATACTCTTGTGATGGCAATGGACCTAGTAGATCAATGCTAATGTCTTGCCATGGACCAGTTGGCAATGGAATCGGGTTCAGTGGCTCAGGGGCAGGCATTGCTCCAGTAATCTGGCAACCATGACATCTCCGCACAAAGTTCTCAACATCTCTCTCCATGCGCGGCCACCAAACCTTGGTTCGCAACCTCTGTTTAGTGCCGACCACTCCAAGATGTCCCTGGTGGGCTAACTGGACACACTGTAGTCTCAGACTCTTGGGAACTACAATTCTGGTTCCTCTCAAGACGAGAAAACCAATACATGAGAGCTCATTCTTCATAGGGAAAAAATCTTTGACATCAGTTCCCCATGAGTCCTCGTTGAGACATCTCCGAACTGCACTTAATTCGTCATCTGCTCTTGAAGCTTCTTCAACTTCTCTGGTTGTCAAAGCTTTCGGCGTTGCCTCGCTTGCTACCCAGCGTACATAGCGTTCTGTTTCATCCTGCAGTGTTTCTTGCTCCTTAGCAGGGGTCGTCTTTGTAAGCCTCGACAGAACATCTGCAATATTATCTCTTCCTGGTAGGTACTTAACTTTGAAGGAGTAAGACATCAACTTCATCACCCACCTCTCAATTCGGGCGTTTGGCCGGGATTTTGGCCCATATAGGACTTCAAGGGGTTTGTGATCTGTCATTAACACGAAATCTACCCCATACAGGTAAGTGTGGAATTTACTGCATGCCCACACCACAGCAAGAGCCTCTTTCTCGGTTGTTGAATATCTCTTTTCAACATCAGTCAGTGTTCTACTGGCATAAGATATGACCTTCAATTGGCCATCGTACTCTTGCAGAAGCACGGCTCCAAGGCCGACATTGCTCGCATCTGTCACAAGTTGGGTACTGTCTGCATCGAGTCGAAAGTATCCCAGAGTATTTGTATGTGTCCAGGCTTCTTTCAATTTCTTGAAGCTGTCTTCTTGCTCTTTTCCCCAGTGGAACTTCACTGTCTTCCTTACCAACCTCCTTAATGGCTCTGCCACTGTAGCAAGGTTGGGGATGTAACGAGCTGAAAAGTTCACTAGCCCAAGGAAACTCCTCACTTCGGCAGAATTGGTTGGTCTCCTGGCATTGCGTAGTGCCTCTTCACGGTCGTCTGTCGGCTGAATGCCATTTCTAGACATAGTGTGGCCCATGAAAGTGATTTTGTGAACCCCAAACTCACATTTATCTTTGTTCAAGGTCAGGTTTCTCTCCTTCAATTTTCTCATGACACAGTCTAGCCTCTGGTCATGCTCTTCCTGTGTCTTGCCATATACTACAATATCATCTGATATGTTAGCTACACCTTCACCCACACCGATCACCTGACTAATGACATTTTGATACATTTCTGGGGCTGCATTTATCCCAAACATAAGCCTCTTGTATCTATACAATCCCTTGTGGGTTACAAAGGTTGTTATGTCTCTTGATTGCTCATCTAGCTCAATTTGGTGGAAACCATACTTTAAGTCAAGTTTACTGAACACAACACTGCCATTCATTTTGTACAGTACTTCGTCAACCGTTGGAATCGGGTGTCTTTCCCGCTTAATGGCTTGATTAGCTTGCCTCATATCTACACATAGACGAATATCACCATTGGGTTTTGGGACAACAATAACTGGGCTTACCCAGGAACTGGGCTCGTTAACATGCTCAATTATGTCTAGAGCCTCTAACTCATCCAACTTATCATTCACCTTAGCCCTCAAGCTATACGGAATACGGTACATGTTCTGAGCTACTGGGGTAGCATCAGAGTCTACATGCAGATGGAGCTGGTAATTTGTTAGTTTACCTATGCCCTCAAAACACTCTGGGTACTTGGTATGTACACTTTGCACACTACTTACTCCACCCACATCCGCATCTACACCAATTTTCAACACCCCAAGCTTCAAAGCTGTCTCTCTACCAAGTAAGGCAGGCCCTTTACCATTCAGTACATAGAATTCTGCCTCTATGCTCTCTGCTGAATCTAAACCAGAAAGCAACACACTTGTGGTGAACTTGCCCCTCAGATCCAATGGATATTCTGAACCATAGGCATACAACCTTTTGGTTGTCTTTTCCGACTTACATCTAATTCTGTTGGCTTTCAACATTTCCCATGTTTCGTGATCAACAATGTTAACAGTAGCTCCACTATCTACAATCATATCTAGTACTTGCTTATCAACTACAACCTTCACTTTTGTTTCATCTGTGGGTACATGAACAGTATTTACACTAAATGAATACAAATCATATTCACCATCATGCTCTTCATGTTCATAGTCTACATTACGTACAGTTCCCCTTTTGTTGTTCTGTCCTTGTGGGGCCATCTTAGTTTTGCAACAGGACGAGAAATGACCCATCATGCCACATTTGTTGCATTCCTTCCCTCTGGCAGGGCAGGACTTGTCCTTGGCATAGTGTCCGTCATGCCCGCAGCGGTAGCACTTTCCAGCTGATCCCCGCTGACTGACAGTAGCGCTAGCACCCGAGGATCCCCGTCCACGCGAGCCTGGATATCGTCCACGATTGGATGTGCTTGGACCACGACTGCCGCTCGCACTTGACCATGTCGACCGTCTTGGATATGAATTGCTGCCCCGTCCTCTTGACATGCTTGATGACGGTTTAACACTGGCAACAGTCTCTCTCCCACCGAATGATGATGTCCCCTCTGCCATATGTCTTGTCTGGGTCTCCGTCATCTCTATCGTCGCTGCAATGGTCTGCAGTTGTTGCAGAGTCAGGCCATGTCCTTTCTCTAGCAGCTTGGTACGGAGTTTGTTGGATTTACATTTCTCGATGACCTGATCTCTTATCTGTTCGTCCACATTAGTGAAATCACACGTGGCTGCTTGGTGACGTAGTCTAACTACAAACTCGGCCACAGTTTCATCGTTTGCTTGAGACAGACTGCGAAAGACATATCTTTCATATGGTACATTTACTTTGGTTTCAAAGTAAGCAGTTAAAGTGTTCTTCACCTTAACGTAGGCGTCCGATCCTTCCTTCTCCGACAGTGAGTAGAAGATATCTTGCACCGCCACTCCGGCACAGTGCAACAACAGTGCCTTACGCTGTTCCACGTCTGTCACGCCCTTGCCGGTTACGTACAGTTCGAACGAGCGTAGCCATTTTTTCCACGCCTGTCTCTGTCCATGCTGACCCTGGGAGCCTCCACGCACATCGTGCGGATCGAAGTTTGGCACCGACGGCAAGTCATTCATGGTTGTTTTTGACATCATGCATATCACAAACGATCCTCGTCGCCAGATGAAGTGTTCTTAATTATTATAAGAATCCAATAAACATGCTACGACGCATACAGTCCATCTTTACGAGTCCGTGCGTGTCCGCTTTTATTGCTGTCACTTTCACACTTTCTACATGTTGTGTCACGTGATGACCTTTGGCGGTTCATGTAATACAATATACACAATAGTAGTCTCAACTCAAGGCGCACCTAGTCTTTGCTCAAGATACTACAGCCACCATCCCACCAGTTGCTCCATAAGCCGCGGCTAACATCGTGGATGCAACGGGCCTCGCTGCGTCTATCACGGGTGCCGACTGCGCTGCTTGATCCAACGGTGCCGACTGCGCTGCCTGATCCAACGGTGCCCACTGGGTCAAAGGTGAAGGCTGACCATATCCATAATGACTTGGCATACCCATCGATGCCTGGTGCTCTGTTGTAAACTGGACTGAAGCCGCCGTCTGACGTGGCTCATCAGGCATGGACAGCGCCGATATACCTGTAGCAGGCTGACCTGGTGCCCTGACGACACTTGGCCCACCGTGAATCTCGGCGACATGGACTGCGGCCTGACGTGCCGAGCTTCTCTGTGGCGCTGACGAAGATCTGCAAGCTCTCTTTCGTGGCCCCGGTGCCGGCCGTACGGACTCTGGCCTGCGTTTGGGCCTACCTCTTGGCATGTCCTTGTCTTTGCGGACTCCCCACGCGCCAATTGCTCGTAATTCCAATTCTAATTAAACCCGAAATTCGGGTGTAGAAAAGTTTTCAATCGAGCGTTGATGTTTCTAGATTGAAGCCGTGACTAAAAGTGAGTTTGCGCACTCCCGATAGAATACAATGCGCTGATTGGCTGCCGCGCAATCCTAGCGCGGCAAAATAAAGGGAGAGTGCATACAACGTCCGCAATGACGTTTGCGCACGTCCCGCAAGCGATGTTCTGTTTTTATTGGTTGCCCAGGGGTGTTCAGAATCCCAATTTGCATACAACCTTCCTTAATCAGGATACTCATGCACACTGTATGCTGTACAATAATTATTATTGAACACCCACAAGTACGATCAAACTGGATTTTGCGCTGAGTATAATAAATTTTACCAGTTAAATGGTAAAATGTGTTAAATAAAGTTACTTAAGTTAAAGGCATATATGATCATTTGCATTCATCCCAAAAGTGACTTACCGAATTTTGATAAAAAGGATTAGAACCATGTATCTGCATCTGAATAATCTAAAATCCTTAATAGGATATCCCTCACAGGGTTCAAGCTTTAGTGTAGACAATCACCAGATAAAGTTACTACTGTACAACACACTATTCATTTTGTTAAGCATGTGGACACTTTGTTAACAAAGACAATTATCTGCATTCCGTTAACATTACTGCTATTGCATAAAGATCCAATTGCTCAACGAACAAATAATTTGAACGAAATAAGTTCGCAGAAAGCATTACGTTTCTCATATTGATCTTTAGCAGGGGGTGTTTTAAGACGACAGATACACACCTCTAATCCAAAATGGGTTTTTTTTGGCTTACAAAATAAATCATCTGATTATAGCAATGACAAGGAATCGAAAGTAAATCTTACCGTTTGAAGCTTTTACACAGAGTACAACATTTGCCAGAATAAATAGCGAGTCCATGTTTCAAGAGATGGATAACAAATGAGAGTTGCAGTTCTTCTATTGTATGGTTTAACGCATTTTTTCCTATGTCCTACAAAACGAAACTTTTCTGGAAAAGGTAAACTCCATAATTCATTGTATGACGGGTTCTTTTCACGTGTCGTTCTGATTTCAGTTACACATTACTGTGCTATCCAATAGGAAACAAATATTATACTGCGATACGCCGCAGTTGCTTATGTGATGTAACGATTGAAAGAGCCCTTTGAATAAATATTTAATTTTACAATTAAAGTAAGAGTAATACAAGAAATAACTCCACCATTTCAAAAGAGAAACTGATAAGTCAATTTCAATTTGATGTTATGCGGCGCTGTTTGCGTTGTTAAGATTAGCTATTCTTTTTCCACAATTTTGCACTAAGACTTTGTTTTTGTGTGATTTTTTTCTTTCTTCTCTTTCTGTGTGTGTAGGCCATACATGTACATCTATGCGTAATCATTTTAATCAGAATATATTTCATAGTAAGTAATATTTCTATGTAAATACATGTATGAAATTTTTCTCTGTTATGCCTTGTAATGTTGCAACTGCTATTGTTAACCAACCAGGATAGTGCTTTTTTCTGGTGTCATTTGTTTCTCAACATTCTTCCGAAATTAAATTGCGAACAATATAAGAGTGTCGTGGTTTTAAATATATGTAGAAAAAAAAATGAAGACTTGTTGGCCCGTCCATGAATTTAAAATGATTTCAAATAAAGGTGCGAGGCTCTATCGGCATTTACTGATAAAAGGTGTCGACGAAGCGATCCGCGGCAGCTACGTACGGGTATACAAGTACTTTAAATGCATTTACTCGTAAGTAGCCTAAAAAGGCCAGTGATCTTTCGAATAACGAAATGTTGTCCTCTGGTTATTAATACAATCTTTTTTGATCGAAATTCGTCTACAATTGCAGCCTTCTAACAGGGGCGTAAATCCAATGGGTGGGGGTTAATATCCGTCGAGGAATTAAAAAAAACTTCTGATGTAGGCGTTTTGATTTAAGCGCGATTGAACATATAGATGTACATCTATATCATGAACAGCGCTCCGCTAAGGAGTTATTTGGTACAAAGGAAATTCACTGGATGATCCTTCAAAACAAAGACTTATTAGTCACTCCAATAGTGTAGACTTTCCCTCGAGCGACAGATATGCAATGTCGTCAGGTGTCAGCCTCGTGATTGAAGGTGTCAGAGATTAAGATGAAGTACCTTTGTCACATCATAACACATACTGTCAAAAGTCAAGGAGAAATCTTCCTGGAAGTTCTTGGTAAGTCAACAAATACTGCAACCTGACTCCAACCCTCAAGCAGGTAAAATGATTTGCTACAAAAACACAAATAAATGTTTGTTTGTTCTCATGCTGTTTAAGTCGTGTTAATCACAAGGGTATAAAGGGATTTACGATAACATGAATAAAAAAACCCGATTATGCATGCCAAAGTAAATTACGGCCCTTTTTGGGCACCACAAATATCGCCAAATTTAGAGATGTGATTGGTCTGTGACAAAAACACCTGCACATTTTATGCGTGAAGTGCAAACCCCGGCGAGCATGAAGCGGGAAGCCATTACGCGTATACGGCGTGGGGTTCTTGACCCTTGGATTCTAGATGCTCTGTTCTTATGAAGTTTAATCTTCAAACCATGCATTTTCATTGAACAAGGATAATGCATAAGCAATTCAAATGAAATTGAACTCAGGTCAACAATTAAAGACTGTTTTCTTTGGCTTTTGTTGCAGTTAATGTCGTCATACCGGTACACAATACCTTTCCCGCGATCGATGGCTTTTCAAAGCCACTGATTCAATTGTATTTTACGTTCAACAGTCACACATTCTTCCCCCCCCCCCTATTCCAACGAAATTTATATTGACGTCAAACTGATAGCTCTCGAACTTCCCGGACTGGTATTTCTCCCCTCGATAGAATTGTCCTGTTGAAATGTTGTCCTGTTGAACGAGACCGACATCTCTCACTCACGCCAGACAAGTGAACTATGTACACCATATTATATATTTGTAAGAACTAGACTACATGAAGCCCGGCGCTCGTATCGAGCCCAGCATACAACGTACGTACGCACACCACAATGTAAAGCCCCTGTCACACCATTGCGTATCCTAATTCCTTATGAGTTCCTTATCAACAATTTTCAATACGCAGCCGTACGCTAAATTAACGTCGAAATGTTTTGTCACTTTGACTTATGTGCGACGCACATCTAGCGTACAAGTAACGAATTAAGCGCATCCATTGCGTATGAGATGCGTATGAGTTGCGTATGCAGTGCACAACATTTTTTTTCGGGCTGCGAATAGGTCAGTATGCAGTGCGCATGCCAAGCGTATTCCGGACGCACCCGACTTATGCCGACCGCATGCTTGAAGCATTTCTGAGTCTGTTCCCGCCACATTTCCGCCGCTCGCCGTTCAGCGTGCGTTGCATCTGCGCTGCAAGTATGCTGGCGGGGTGCGTCACGAACACATAGCGTACTCGTAACGCACTCGACCGATGCGGGACCGATGCGCTGCGTATTTATAACTTATGACCTGCGTAACAGCGTACGCAGCGTAGTTTTGTGCATGCCCAAATCTATCCAGCGTACTGGGCCGTACCATGCGTATGCATGCTTACATAAAACTTACACAAAACGATAAAGATGCATATGAGGTGCGTATTGTGCGTACGACTGCGTATGAAAAAAAAATGTCAATACGCAACTCATAAGGAATTAGGATACGCAGAAGTGTGACAGGGCCCTAAACCGTATGCACCAAAAAAACCAACACACCCACACACACGAGAACGACCGCAACACGCGCATGCTCCGTTAGTCTCAAAGTGAATTGATACCAGTGATTGAAACTTGCACGGCTTGGGCCGGCGGCGCGGGGGAACCGCAACGACCTGGAATTACACACGAGTCTATACACACATGGCTGCAGCCACTTCCCGTAGACTCGCTTGTAATTTCAGGCCGTAGCCCAGTGGCTTTGTTCGTGCAAATAAAGCTGGGATCCTGTCTCAGTTCTGCTAAAACCTCGTTCTCAAGCAAGGACAAATGCATGCGACGGAATACCAAAAGCACATGTACATGAATCTCGCAGCCCTACACACGAGGGGCAAATGTCATTGAAGAAAATACTTAATAGTCTGGTCCTGAAAACAAGTGAATTCACGTCCGGCCGAATACAATACATACATGTAATTTACAGAGTAAGTTATTCGGAATAATTAATTTGTACATTCTAACCCCTTCCCCCAACAGATTCACATGTTTCACGGGGGTT